CCCCGCCAGGTCTCCCGATGAGGTTGACAAGAACCGCGAAGTAGTGCCTGCAAGGCAGTCCGCGCCGCAAAAGCTGTAAACAGGAACACAAATGGAAGTTGTGAGACCCGAATGCGACGAGGTAGCTAGGATTGTTCGCCGAATACTTGTATCTAACGGCCGCGACCAGTTCGATAGGGAAGCCGGCGATCAATTCCAAGAAAGCTGGCAGCGATATACGAGCCCACATGATGTTGTCCTCTGCAGGTTCGTCAGCTAACGAGTCTCTCTCCAGTTCGGTATCAGGTGGTGCGACCTGGAGAATGTTGAGCTTGAGGCGCAAATTGCGTATCTGGACAAAGTCGTCGTCGTGTAGAGGAAGCGGTTGTCCGTCTTCGTCCACACTTCCGGAAGTCACCAGTTCGACGTCATACGACTCCGATCCGTCGGCCTGAGCTCTGATATCCTGCGACAGAAAAAGATCGAACGAGTATGGTCGGTGCAAGACATACAATTCCGTCGTATATTTGGGTTTAGATTGGGCTTTGACGATGTCTGTATTTGGTCAAGCTCGACAAGTCACGGGCACACAATTGTCCGAAATCAAGAGCAACGATTCAGCGTCCTATGTACAAATACATGCCCCAACACGCCTTACTTTCTGGTAGTACTGGCTGGCACCACAGGCCAAAAGCTCTTGCTTCACGGGCTGGAAGAATTTCTCGACGTGCTTGTCCCGGAACGCCACCCCTGGGGTGACTGGGGGGGTCGCTAACCTGCATGCATTGCATCGGAGTGCTGCATGAAATAAGGTGTATGATATGTGGCGACGGGAGAGGTTCATGTGTATCGTCAACAACCATCATTATCCTTGAGCGTCTAGTTATTTTACCCACTAGGGATCCCCTCGCACGCGAAGCCTCTAGGGATCGGTAACATACAAAGTCACCTCGCACCTCGCTGTCTCGATGGCAATCATCTTGCTCAGGTGTTGCAGGCGATCCCAAAGAGCGCACAGTGAAAGCTTCTTCTCCACACCCGAGCGCTTCGCCACTCCGAATAAACCTTTCGTGCGCTGAGTGGCAACCATGCCTAGCGTGAGGACAGTGGACCGGCAGCAGAACGCCCACTTCGTCTTGTTTCTGCGCACATCAACGGCGCCGACAATATAGCGAATTGGCGAATTTTGAGCGTTGGACATTCTTGAAGATGTGCCACAAGCAGTGCAAATGCAGCGTGTCTGGCCAACAGGAGGCTATTGCAGCGGTCATCGCAAGATCAGCATCGGTCAAGATTACCTGTGGGAAAGACAAACGAAAAGCGTGTCGTTGATGATAGGTGGAATAACTCGCTGATGTTGCCAGCACATGGAGAAACTCCTGGTCGTCCACACAGCTCCTGGCCGTTCACACAGCTCGACTTAGTGGCGGCAGAAAATGAAAGTCACTTTGTTCCTGTCGCTAAAGGCATGATATTGTTGTACATCATCCTGACTCCGTACCAAAGCATTCAAGGACCACCCCTAACCCCACGTGATACGGACATGATGCTAGGGTCACCTTCGGCCTCCGCCCACCGGCAGCAGTTTCATATCTGTTGAGCATTCACTCGAATGTTTGTGTACACTCTGACCGCAGCAATCCCTGCCCCAAAATGCAGCTGCGATTTTCGTCGTCGACGCCGACGACGAACAGAAGCGGGCACCCGTACCTAAAGAGGAACGCGGTCAGCCCGAGTACATCAGTCCGGCTTACATAAGCAAGCACTGTTATACTGTTGCTAGCAGAACACATATCTGTTGCCAAGGCATTTGGGATTGCAATGGTTTGTGGAGTTGCACAATACACGGGCTGGCGTTGACACCCTCTCACCAGCTGAATTTCCCGTCGAGACAAGCAACCTCTCGAAGAGGTTCAATAATGTTTCGGTAACGTTTGTACCTGTTAGTGAACACCATCGTGTCCAGCTGGATGCACCCCCCAAATCTTGCAATGTGGGCTTGCTGTTCGTGGTGGACCAAAAAACATCCACCAGTCTCCCCTGGGCATCCAGTGTGTGGTCGCAGTACATGCCAGGCTCGCTTTTCAGAGACGCCAGGAAGTCGGTTGCGTCCTCGGGTTTGGCGTTCAACTCGTCGCTAAGCTTCTGTATTTCGTAGTACACCTTTAGTACGATAACGGCATCACGACGTGAACGGCAAGAGGTCACGATGGGGTAAACTTCCGTCACATTAATGCAAGAGGATGTGATCAGTCGTTCTGTGATCCACCTACAGTAGGGAGGGCTGGCGTTTGTCTGTTTCGGAGAGACGCCTAGCAAGCAAATACCTAGGTATGCCACCGCATATTCCACTGCTGTGTATCGGTTGTAGAAATGCGTAGTGTCGAGGTGATATTTGCACGAGTTCCATACAGAAGTCTGTAGAATCTTCAGCAGATTCTGACGGAAGACTGATGAGGCAGTGGCCGGAGTCGATGTTGTCGCTAATGCTGGTTCCAGAAGTTATACTTCTTTTCGGCTTTGTACAGTTCGCAGCTTGCTTGCCGAGTTGGCATGTTGAGGGATAGTTTGGCTGTGAGCCTGGTGGGGCTCGTAACACGTCGCGATATCGCTACGATTACAATCCAGGAGCCATATCTCGTCGCTACATGTTGCGTACTACCAAAATTCACTTGGGAGACCGCATCTACACGTATCATCACATGCAGCAATCACACAGCTGCATCTAATTTCTACACAGATCCCATAGCAGTAGTGCGCGGTAGTACAGCCACCCACTTTTTTCTTCCCCACTCTGCACAAGAGGCGACCGTCGTGGTTGAGTTGCAGCAGGTTGAAGGTGTCTTGAACGGACACGCCCCCCGCATACCACGTCCGAATATCATCCACCCTTTTGCTGACGATGGAAGGCGACAGGGTGTCCTTGGCTTTGCTGGAAACCGCTCCCCGTGGGTTGTGGTTGTGCTGGCAGTTGGGCTGGTGGTATGGATACAACGACGGAGCCACTCAGTGTCACACTCGGTACTGTCTGACGCCCTATATTACGTTTAGCAAGTAAGACAAGCATGTATGATCCATTGTTGGCTACGTGGATGTCATTGCTCTGCCGTGCTTCGGTGAATATGTGTTGCCCAGCCATCGACCTTCGCCGTCGCGGGGAGACCGTGGAATGTAGAGAAACTCACTGATGAAATAGAAGGGTTGGTGTCCCGCAGAGGCCAGGTGATGGTGATCTTGAAAAGGCATCCCACCTATTCCATTCCATAAAGAACCGTGGGAACAGTGGCGGGAAAGAGTGAACGAGTCAACCCAGACCACGATGCGATGGATACAGTTAGCACCGGACGTCGCCGTGAGCTGTCAAGCGTGTCTCCGTCGATCATGCCACGTAAATGAAGGTAACGATGCCACTCGGATTGTACAACACAGCTCACCTTCTTCGTACTTCTCAACGAGGGCTTGCGGTCTTCTGTCGTCGTACGCTTCCCGTTTCCCCTTCTGCGCACGTGTCCCGCATGCGCACAAATGACTTCACAGTGATAGTCGCGCGATTTATCCGTCGTCTGTACGCAAGAGACGGACAACACCGGCGCAGCCTTGGCCGTTGCGACTTCACTGCGAGGCGTGATCGTCACGGGTATGAAAGGATAATCGGAAAATCGGAGTGCTCGCAGAATTGATACCTTCTTTTTGCGGTTCATCAGGAGAGTGTCGTGCCCCTCAGCTTTAAGCTCTCCGAGAAGTGTCTCGAAGACAGCATCCCACGTCTCTTGAGGAGGACCGAGCACGTCAAAGGAACGGCCCGCTTTTGCAATTCTTCCCGTATCCCCCCGGCCAACTCCATTCCCGCCGTCTCCTTTGCTCGCGTCCTATTCCGCAGCGCAAAGATAGGGAGTGGGAAAACGGACTGTCAATGACAATGATGGCTCCACGGACTAATGAATTCCAACACAGGTCGTCCACGCCAGCCCTGCGTAAGACTTCTCCCGCCTACTTCTCCTGCCTACCTTTCGTCGCCGTCTGTTGCGTTTCCGTTGTTTTCGCCTTGTTTCTCTCTTCTCCCGCGAGGCGTCACTCTCGTCACTGTCCGAACCATCCCCACTTCCTTCGCTGTACTCGCTCCCGGAGTCTTTCCCCCCGTCTGAACCACTGTTGCTTCCCTCATCATCACTATCTCCCTGGTATTGCCCTCCGCTTATGGCTTTGGAACCCTGCCTACCCTTTGTTTCTGCCGACATCTCCGCATCTGTACTGCTGTCGCTTCCCTCATCATCACTCTTTCCCTTCTTTTGACCTTTGTACCCGTCTTTGCGACTCTGATCCCCTCCTTTCTTCCCGCATGCCATCCCCCTTTTCCCGCGCGGCTTGTCGTCATCTCGATTGTTTCTGCTCGTGTCTCCACCGTGCTCAAGGCCACTCCTGCTGTCACCCTTTCCTGTGCCTGTACCGTCGTTGTTTGTTGCCGCGGGTACCTGAATATCTTCCGCCTCCTTCGAACTGCTCTCATGTGAGACGCATCTATTGTAGGATCTCCCTCTCTCTCCTGCAGGTGACCCTTTCCCCGAAGCAACATGCGTTCGGGCATACTTGACGTCTACCTCCACGTAACGCGCCGCAATCGTCACGATGCTCTCAGCGTCATCCATTAGCACGTCGTACGACTCAACTTCTTTGTGGTCGGCATCCATGTTGACCTTCATCACAGTTCCGTACCCTGGTTGCTTCACATTCCAACGCCCATTGTGAAGGCGAGTGCCGACTATGATGTCGAAGCACCCCTGTGCGAACACATGTGGAAGTGCGAAATGTTTCTTTTAAAGCAACGGGTGTGGGTGCTTTTGACAAGTGCTGGTGGCGAAAAACTAGCAAGACGTTGTAGCTACCCGAGACGTCTTGGTCTTGGCGATTTTGTTCCCGTTACGCTGGTCCCCATACCACCGTATGCGCTACGTCTGTTCAACGTGATAAATCATGACTCATGAAAGCAAACCGGACGAAAGCCTGCGCCTGCCTTGCCTTCTGTTCTTGAAGCCGCGCATTCTTCGACACCTTGTGTGCCCTCCGTCGCAGCTTCTGAAACGCGTTGTCTCCATTCCTATCCTTGCCCACCTTGGGCGCGGTGCTGCCGTCAACTCCGTTGCCCTGCTTTCCCTTTGCCTCCTGTCCGTTCACGGAATCTACGCCCGCCGTGTCATCCCCTTTACCACCGGTTTTTCCTCAATTCCCACCCTTTTTCTGTCCTCCCCTTCCCTTGCCCTGCTTTCCCTTCGCCTACCCGTTCACGGAATCGCCGCCCGCCTCGCCATCCCCTTTTCCACCAGTCTTTCTTCCGTTCCCACCTTTTTTCTGTCCACCCCTTCCCTTGCCCTGCTTTCCCTCTGCCTCCTGCTCGTTCGCGGAATCGACCCCCACCGTGTCATCCCCTTTACCACCAGTCCTTCCTCCGTTCCCACCGTTTTTCTGTCCACCCCTTCCCTTGCTCGCGCGCCCCTTGCCGCCGTCGACATTGCTGACGCCGTCGACAGTGCTGGAGCTCCCTCTTTGCTGTTGTTTGTCGCGGGACCTGGCCTCCTCGGCAGCTGCGTCCGCTTTCCGCTGTGCTTCTTCTCTCGCCTCATCCTGAGGTACACGACCAGACGTTGGTCGCATAAGGGCACGATATATTTGAAGCTTCAATCACTCAACACGTCTGGCCTGGTCAAAGGGTCTGCTAGTCTTATGGATTGGTCGTGACTTCTACACGGTCGACGTTTTCAAGCAGATACCTATGCTCCGAAATGCTTCACAGAGGATGCGTGCCACCAAGTAATGCGCTTATGCGAAAGTGTTGCGGTCGCGAACACGCCAAGCAAATGTTGGGGAAATCTACTTGAGATTGTATCCACCGTATCGCACTTCGACGTGCTCACCACGCGGATATCGAACGCCTCTTCGTTTCCTTCTGCTGCATGCTCCGCGCGCTCAAACGGTCTTTGCCATCACACGCACATACATCGGATGGCGATGGCGTGAGGCGAGGGCAAAGAAGTCACGGAATATTCAGACGTCCTCTGTCCAACGCACCAGCACACCGTATGGGGTTCGCTGAGAACGCTTGGGCAACATGACTAGGGTCGTGATGAACTTATTTCATTGAGAATATGGAACTACGCGACGCCAACGAGGAGTCCCCCACCTTCCCGACCAGCAAACAGTGTATTCTCGATGTCAATGGCAACAACCCAAACATATACGGACTTACACCCTCATGGGCCGTTATGATTACTTCGAGCGTCAGGTGGACTACCTCTACGACCGTTTCGTGTTCGTGACGCCACTAGCGCTTGGAACACCCACATCACCCGGAATTCATGTCCCCACTTACCACATGATGACCCATGATGCGTTTCAAGTCAGATTCGCGTCTCTCGAGGTGGGATTCTGCCTGTCGGTTCGAAAGCAACGCAGGCCAAGCAAACCGGTCCGACGTCAACCACGATACGTCTCGGCACATCGGTCGTTTTCGTTTCGAATAGTACAGAATATCATCGTGTACGGAGCCAAACAGCTCAGGTAGGTTGGCAAATATGCATGTCCTCCAAGAAACGACAACTTCATCGCTAACCCTTCTTCAGTTGAAAGCTCCGAACCCTTACCCTTGCATGGGCGCCCGTCAGCCTTTGCATGACATCCTCCTCCTCGTCTGCCGGCATTTCTTTCCGCTCTGGATCAAGCATAGCGTCTGCTAGCTTCCCCTTTGAAGCCGTGGCCGCCTCCTTCGCCATACGCCTCAACGCCCTGAATTTCGTTATAGAGCGGTCCTTCGCGACGAGGGCGCTGTCATCCGACAAAGTCACGAAGTCACGAAGTGGTTTAGCTCGGGAAGGTTGTTTCTCAGGTACTCTCTGTATCCATTCGCTTCTCGAAGGGCGGGTTGTAGCTGAAGCTGTAACACATGGTCATGGCCACGTGGAGCGTAGGCCCGCGCGCCGTTTCCCACAACGGCAGAAACAGCGTGTGCTTCTACGGCCCTCCCTGCGCATCGTTCAGGGAGTTGACTGCAACAGTCCGAGCGCGAGAGGAGGCGGCCACAAAATGCATCCCAAACACGACATGACGGAAGTGTCGTTAGCGTGTCACCCACCCGTTTTCCCGTTTTCCGTTTTCCTTTCGTTTTCCTTTCGGGTATTGCGTCGCCCATCCAATTCGTACATGAAAACTGGGCGGGTCATCGGCAGGCACCCAAAGAACTAACAACGATCCTACTACCGGGACAGTTACACTGCGTGTTGCTGCGTGTTGCGGCGAGGCGATGAGCTGATGTGTCGGATGGACTTGCTGCGATATCAAACTGGTGATACTAACTAGTATGCATCTACCGTTGTCCTCCACCAGTCACACTCACATGGCAGAAACACTCGCAGGGGAGATTGAACGACTGTGGCGAGTATCGGAAAGACAAACTGTTGGAGCCATACCCCAGGTTTGCTATGCTCCGTAGCTGCGCAAGGAACATCAGCCGCGCGCATTTTGACGGCCCGACGTGCCAGTTGTTGTCGGGGTCGGGTGCTACATCCCACCCGTTCTTCGCCAGCCTTTCCCGCGTATCCGACGTGTAGTTGTACCATGCCCCGAAATGTTCGTCCTGCTCCAGTAGGAATAGTTCCATGTATTTCAGCCCGTACAGCACAACGCTGAGTCGAAGCTTCACCGCCATTGTCTTCATAGCACTTCTGACCCCTCGACCTCCGTCTGTGGCAAGAATACCGCCACAGAATTCAACAAGCAGTCGCCGTTGCCGTCGCTCTCGAACGGAGTGCCCACGCCACCATCTTCGGGTTCAATCCCGTTGAGGAGAGCCGCAGTGAACTTGTCCTTAAACAGGCCCTTGGCCAGAAGCTCCTCTGCGGTCTGGACGGGAATCAAGGAGGATGCATTTACGGCGATAAACATAAATTTCACGGATCGGCAACGCTGAGAAACATAACGGCTATGAAACTGATGGTGAAACCGGANGTCGGGGTCGGGTGCTACATCCCACCCGTTCTTCGCCAGCCTTTCCCGCGTATCCGACGTGTAGTTGTACCATGCCCCGAAATGTTCGTCCTGCTCCAGTAGGAATAGTTCCATGTATTTCAGCCCGTACAGCACAACGCTGAGTCGAAGCTTCACCGCCATTGTCTTCATAGCACTTCTGACCCCTCGACCTCCGTCTGTGGCAAGAATACCGCCACAGAATTCAACAAGCAGTCGCCGTTGCCGTCGCTCTCGAACGGAGTGCCCACGCCCCCATCTTCGGGTTCAATCCCGTTGAGGAGAGCCGCGGTGAACTTGTCCTTAAACAGGCCCTTGGCCAGAAGCTCCTCTGCGGTCTGGACGGGAATCAAGGAGGATGCATTTACGGCGATAAACATAAATTTCACGGATCGGCAACGCTGAGAAACATAACGGCTATGAAACTGATGGTGAAACCGGATTCTATGAAACGGAGAACGTACAGTATACATGGAAGTGACCACGTACGGAACACGAATGGCACAACAGAGCGAAAACAGCTCTCTCTGTATAGTACATGGGATTGATTATGCTGCTACGGGCAGGTCACACATTAATCCTTCCAATACGAGGCTGCTACCCCACCTCCCATACAACAACATCGTGACGGAACATGTCGGAACATGTTTCGAACATGTTTCGTACACTCCGTTCGGAAAAAAGAAAAATATTGTGAGCAGTCTGTTTTGTTGATAATAGAGCATGGAGCGTCAATGATTGTGGACCCGACCTTACGCACACACCTGGCACGCATCTGGCAGCAGTTCGCCGTCAATGGGATCTTCCCGCTTGGAGACCCACTCCATCACCTTCCGCAGCTTCTCATCTCCGACGGGTATACCGCTCGTGTCAGGCGAAGACGGGTGGAGGACAAAGTCTAGCATCCCACGGACCTTTGCCAACGCTTGAAGCTGAGAGCTCGACATGGATCTTGCCGGTACTATGCGCTGTAGATACGCTGGCGTATTGAATGGGCCCGGATTCGGTGCTGATACGCTGGCGTATTGGTCCAACAGAAAGACCACAGCGACCGCAGGTCCGCAGGTCTGCAGGTTTCCACACTATTTTTCCGATTTTATTGCGGGCAAGGCGGCGGGGATCCTGTACTAGGTCCCCCCCCCCCTTGTGCCGTGTCTCTCGGGTTGCTGTGCTGCAGTGGTGTAGTGCAGCTGTGTGCTGTGTGTTGTGCGTGCATCATCTTGTCACTTCTACTGCGGTTGTTGTGTGGCCATCGGAACCTTGTACAGGGTCCGTGGTGGGGTGTTAGACACATTTCCCCCCCCACCCGGCACAACTGTAGTTTAGTTTACCCCACCGACTGTGGTCCCCACCGGCCGTGGTACCACCTGAACGGAACCGGTGGGTCTAACGATGGGTCATACGGTAGCCCTACAGCGAAGCAACACATTTGATCATGTCCTGTGT